AGTTTTGGCGGGAAAATGTGCATTCGTAACAATAGTCTATAAAGCCTGGTTTCTATCATTTCGTATGGCTGTTAACGTGTCATAACAGTGTCACAAATCTCGTAGAAATAAACTGTGACAACTCTGACTAGGCTTACACTCGAAAACTAGGCTTAGGTAAGCACGTCCGCGTCACAAATTCACGTTGTAGATCTTAAGCTCCCTAATCACTATTTAACTACAAAATAGTGATTAAAAAAGTGATTAAGAGTTTTATACAACCGGCCCCTCGTGGTCAACTCGAAATGGAAACACATTTATCAGATCGAGTTAAATATTCATTATATAAGTATTGATCTTGTGTTTGGTATCAAATATATGCAATTTAACGAAATTTACTTGCTTCCACAAGGCATAGAGCGGAAGTTGACCACCATGCTAGCGTTTCCCTATTGTTATAAGTCTTGAGTGAAATCCACCATCAGCTGGACATCCATAACTTATCCACTCGTTCACATCCATCACAAGAATATATTTATACTTACGGTATAAACTAAGGTACAACACTCATTCACTTTAAGAGCGCTGATTCTCGCATTTAACTCCGCGTCATCACACGATTTCCCTAACTCCATGAAATCTTTCCACTAGATTCAATAAAACAATGGTCAAGTCAATGTATTACACGCGTAAAAACGCACAAGTTGTAACAAACCTGCAGCAGACTTGTAGCAATGCTGTTTCAACAACAATGTGTTCGCACTGGTTGTTCCCAGCTTGTTCACAAGCTGTCAACTTGCTACAAGGTTGTTGAGCTCCACAGACTTGTTACAAGTTGTTCCAACAACTTGTTATCGTCCTGCGATTCAACAATTTGTCAAAACGTTGTGAGTGACAAACTTGTAGCAACTTGATAAGGGACCGGTCATTATTTATGGCGGGGGGTGGCACCGAATAGAAAAGGGTTGGGTAAACAAAATTTTGAATAAGTAAAAGCTTGGGTAAATGAAAAACAAAACAACTCAAGGGTTGGGTAATAAAAATTTATTGTCATTTCCAAAGCATGACCCACTGAAATGTTGGAGACTGAAAAGCAATGTCAACAGTCATTTATCAATACAATATGTGAATCAATCAAGAGTCACTATCTTGATCATAGTTTGACAAAACAAATTGTGTTTCCAAAGAAAGTACATGTGCAGACAACATGAAACTTTAGACTGCAGAAAATTTCACAAGCCGTTATCAAACTCCTGTCACTGAAGTGATAAAGGACATGTATGACAACTGAATGGTATCCTTTTGTTAAGTTTTTGGCCAGGGGTGGGTAGTTATTTTTAATTGATATTTGAGGTTGGGTAATCAAATTTTTGTCTTTTTTAATGGTCGGGTCAGCAAAATTTTTGACACGGAAAACATTTCTCTTCGGTGCCACCCCCCGCCATAAGTAATGACCGGTCCCTAAGTGCGTAGTAAAATGCAACAATTGTCACGTGGTTTGTGAGCCATGGGATGACTATTGTTGTGTTATAAAAAATGGATATTGGCCAGGTAGTTTGAAGTCACCATGTTCATACATATTTCATCAAGATTTACTTCGTATGTGGGATATATTCCAGAAACAGATGCCTGGAACATCCCAGAAAAGCTTTCTGGAAGGACTGGGAGAGTTTTCAGTGCAAAAAGAGGGTACAGTGTATAATTATATCTTCTCCTTTTTTAAAGTAATTAAGAGATTATATTTCCACTAGTGCTAATCTTCACTAGCTTATAGTATGCATGTGATTGGTTTATGATATTGGTTGTGGTAGCAGTTTGTGAACTTATGTATTTTAGTAAGCCCAACATATACACATACGGTAGCAGTTCATTTTTCTATAGGAATGTTTTCAGCTAAATGAGACTTCAATTTCACGAAACAGTTTTTCACATAGTTTCTCTCTACGGTCGTTTAGTCTTTCTAGGTTTCCCATTTCCAACGCTTCACTATAATCCACGTAAGGGTAAATAATTCTTAGGGCTCTTTTCTGAATTTGTTCAATTTCTTTTGAAAGATAATTAGGAAGACCTGAGTGAAAGGCCTGACAAGCGTATTCAAGGACAGATCTGATACAGGCGCAGTAGAATTTGATCAATGAATTAGTATCGACATTCGCACGTTTTAACTGTTTCAGGAGATAAAGTCGTTTGGAAGCTTTTAATAAAATATTTGCCACATGGACATTCCATTTTAAATCATCGGTAATAGTCATTCCTAAGATTTTTGCGGATGTTACCACTTTGAAATGTTTATCATTTACTTTGACTGGTTCGTCTCTGCAAGGGTCTTTAGTAAAATTTATTCTAAGTTCTTTGCATTTTCCAGAATTTAATTGAAATTTGTTATTATTTGACCAATTAGCCACTTGATCAACTATATCTTGTAAATTGCTATTTTCAGTTCTAGGGATGACCTCCAAAATTGTGGAATCATCAGCGAATTTCCACATCTTGTTTGTTGAATTCTCTGAAACGTTCAAATCGTTTATCATAATGAGGAACAACCATGGTGCTAATTTGGTCCCTTGAGGTACCCCTGCCTGGACTTGCAGTATATTGGAATGGCACTTATAATTCAACTTAATTCTTTGGGTACGCTTATATAAGAAGTCTGTAATCCAATTAGTGACTGATGGTTTAAT